AGAGAGAGAGAGAGAGAGAGAGAGAGAGAGAGAGAGAGAGAGAGAGAGAGAGAGAGAGAGAGAGAGAGAGAGAGAGAAGCCTGTGTAGCGCTTCAGTACCGCTTCGTGCCACGGTGGCCAGGTAGGTCACGCCGCCCATGTAGGTCGCTCGCCATTGTAGGACGTATAGGTCGCCGGCAGGGCAGGTAGAACGTAGGGCAAGTAACTTGGCGTAATGCTAGCAGGTGGCGTTATGCAAGCAGTCGCGTACGTCGCCGGCAGATCGCAGCATCCGTGATTGGATTTGTTTTTTTCATTTCACGAATTTTCTTTTTTTTTTAAATCAGATTGTCTTTTTTTTTTCCCTCTCAAATTCTTTCTCGCCTTTCACTACCTACCTACCACTACTGCTACGACTATATAGAGGGGACCCCCTGCAAACACTCCAATAAAAAATAAAAATAATAATAAAAAAGCAATACAATGGACCAGGCCGGCGATCCTCACATCAGCGGGTTTCGCTTACTCCACAAACTGTAACGTACGGCCTCTAGTTGTAGGTCAGCGGCGCTACCGGTAGCGGGCAAGTAGCGTAGCGCTCCGCAGCGTTCGTCGCCTCTCGCGAATAGCGTGTGGGGGCGCTACCGGATCCTCACCCTCGCCGTCAAGATGAGGAACGGTAAAACGAGCCGCCCTCTTCCTCTACCGAGGAGGGGCTATGCCCGCCGGCGGTTCCTTACCACGGTAGCCCATAGTAACACGCGTGAATTCTTCACCTGGAGCAAAGGAGGGTCGCCATTCCGATCTAAGCCATCGAATTAGGTTACCATGGAGGGTCAACCTATCGAATTAGGTTACCATGGAGGGTCAACCTAGAGTTGAGAGGAGCAGTGAGAGATACTAATCAAGGAAGTGGGATGGGGGCGGAGACAGTAGCTACTCTCTCTCCTAGTAGGTCACTCAACCAGAAGACAAACTTGCCAGCTATGGTCCGGGTGAAACATCGCGCAACTTATTCCATTCGAGGAAGTTATACTCACATATTGTGAGAGGGGTCTTTCAGGAGGGTAACTCCCCAATGCTGATGACGACTTTGCTGCAGAGCCAGGAGGACAATCGGAAAATTACTGTGGTAAGTCCAGATCGTAGTAGCGTGCATCCGTATCTCAGCAGAGGAAGGGCAGTTGGAAGTTACCATGGTAAGTCCAGGTCCCGATAACAATAGGGCAGTTGGAAACTTACCATGGTAATCCATCTCTGTAGCAGAAAGGCAGGCTCGATCCTCCGTAGTTCAAATGTTCTCGGATCGAGTGGTATCGAGCGCCGCCTAGATCAGCAAACCCCTCAAACACAAGTCAGATTAAACAGACAATCCAGATCGAATCCCTGGATTGGAGTGGAAAGTGAGGGTAATTGCCCAATGCTGATGACGTTTTCATTGCTAAGCCAAGAAGACACTCGACAGATTACCGTAGTAATTCCATTTATCAGTAGCGGCAGAGCAATTGGAAGTTAACCATGGTAAGTCCATATCCCACCATTAGCAGGGCAGCTGGAAACATACCATGGTAACTCCATCTCAGTAGCACCAGGGCAGGCCGGATCGTCCGCAGTGGACAGGGAATAGCGAACTTGGTTGCTCTCGGATTGAGTAGAAACGAGCGGAGCCTAGCTCAGCAAGGCGTGATCGAATAGGCACTGTTGGATCGACTCTTTGGTTCAGAATTGTAAATAGCACCTTGCCGATGGTCAGGAAGTACCTTTTGCAACATTCTTCCCACCGATTAATTGCACTAAGTCAATTCAATCGGTCGGTACCTCCCTCTATTCATCCTTCGCCCAGACTACTGCGAAGTAAGCCGTAGCTAATTTGCAATTATTCGAACCCGAGCCAAAAGTGGATAACCGGTCCTTGTAGTCGTCCGTGCCATCAATATTACCCACCACAAGATCTCTCGGAATAGCAGTGATTAGGGGCAAGGAGTAGAACAGATGGAGGAACAGGGAGGGGGAGAGATAAGGTACACGCAACCAAACGCTACTCTGAATGAATTGCAAAGTGTCATCAGCAGCAAGGATCAAACAAACGATGTCAATGTTCAGGGACGCTGGACCCGCTTTCCAGTAGGTGTTGCTCCCCACCAATAGATGAAGCCTCCCCGACGGTAAAAAATAAAAATAAAAATAAAAAATTGGTTGAGCGTTCCCCATGACGAAAATCTAGGCATGGCAGTCGAGCACGGAGAGGGAAGGAGGTTTGTAGTGAATGAAGTGGTGAATAGAGTCAAGGAGCAATGGTTGAAAGAAAGATCAGTTATGGTTATATTTTAGGGGGAGGCTATAAATTTGTCACGGGCGGTCAAGGAAAACTTAATTAGAGCATGCGAAGACGGTTGGACTACAAGGAGGTTGTTTCAACGGGAAGCACGCCCTGGAAGAGTAAAGTTTGAAGGCCACAATGTAGCTTCCTATGTGACAAATCCAAAGACATTGTTGTTTGGCTGCTGCAACAGAAAAAACTCAGAATCGAGTTAGAGGACAAGGAGTACTTCGTCACCTTCAAGTCAAGACTTCCAAAACAGGAACTGCAGGGGCTTCGTATTCAAGAAGCAGAGACAAAGTTATGGATTATGGCATTGAGAGTGCCCCTGGACGCCTACTATTTCCTCAAAAGTGCAGTCATTGCGCTTTTGGGGGAGATTATTGACAAGCACCCTCCAAAGTTTGATAGAGATCGGTCGCAACTGATCAATATTGAAATTGATATGCATCCAGAGGCCCGACCAATAATCGACGATGATCTAGTTATCGAAAGTGGACCTAGCAACATTGTATACAGATTGGTGTCGGCGTTGTCGTTGGTACTACCACACCGAAGACAATTGTCCAAGACACAAACAAAAGGAGGAGGGGCGTCGAGGTAATGGCGAACGTCACGGTGGTCACAGAGAGCGTTATCATCAGCATGTGGAAAGCTAAGGATGCTCCGCCCAGGGGACGACGGCGAGATCTGAGGGTAGTCAAGCCATACAACAGTTGGGATCAGGACAAGCTCATATGCAAGAGGAGAATAGGCAAAGAGACTTTGCCATGGTGGCGAGTTAAGATACAACACGAGTTTTTGCGAACCAAACGTCACGAACCTCCAACCAAGTGTCAGGAGGGGCAAGGCAGGGAGCAGTTTCGGAAGACGATAAACATACGACGCAAAAATTCCAAGATGGGGACCTCACGAGCAAAAAGTAAGCCCCCATATTTTTCCACGATCTCGAGAGGAGCATTTGATTTAGAGGTCGCAGAGGTGGGGAGATACGCAAGAGCTAGAACCACCACGGTCACTACTTCCCCCTTCGACAGCAAGAGAGGGATGGTCGTTGTGTAACCTTCCAGACCCAGCAATCGCTGCAGGGTACATCGAAGTTCCCTGGGGAAGCCTTGCACTTACACCTACCCAGACGCATAATCGTTGGCTAAATCCGCACTCCAACCTATTGGAAGTTGGATCGGGCGAGGGAACTTGCTATTCAGCGCACTGTCGCCTCGTACGCAACAACTTCAGGTCGATTACCCCCATCCCATATATTCGTCGAAAACGAATGACTGGATAATCTTTGCGCTACAGGCTTCGAGCAAAGGAGTATCTTCACCATGATTTCCGAAATGGGGCAAAAGAGGAGGCTCGATTATAAGATCTCACAAAAGCAACAATGGGCGTTGGGAATCAGGGAGGGAGGAGAGTTGGAGCAGGAGGAACAGAGGGGAGACAATGCATTTATGATGACGAAATCCAACACTACCTTTCTCAGGGATCTAAGAAGAGGAGGAGAACCAGAGGCAGTGAGACTCAACAGTGCCCCCAAGAGGACTAGAGATAGCTCAGGAGGAGTTAACACAGACCCAAAATCATCGCAGTCAAGAATCAGATGGCCCAATGAATGCTGCATGAAAGATTTTGGAGCCACTTACAAACATACGGCGCAAAAATTCCAAGATGGGGACCTCACGAGTAGCAAGTAAGCCCCCATAATTTTCCACAATCGTGAGAGGAGCATTTGATTAAGAGGTCGTAGAGATGGGGAGTTACGCAAGAGTTGGAACTAGTACGGTCGCTACTTCCCTCGTTGACAAGGAATGACCGTTGTGTAATGTTTCAGACCCAGCAAGCGTTGCAGGGTACATCAAAGTTCCCTGGGGAGGCCCTGCACTTACACCTACCCAAACGCATAATCGTTGGCTAGATCCGCACTCCAACCTACTGGAAGTTGGACCAGGGGGGAGGAACTCGCTATTTAGCGCACCGTCACCTCGTACGCAGCAGCTCTAGGTCGATCACCTCCAGCCCAGATCGTCGTTTCACTTTGTTGAGTAACCTTACTCATGAACGCCCGACGGCGGGAAAATCCATTCGGGGAGAAACTAATGGTAGGTGAGCGACGCTAGCGGGCAAGTAGCATAGCGCTCCGCAACGTTCATCGCCTCTCGCAAATAGTGTGTGGGGTGCTATCGGACCGTCACCCTTACGTCGAGATGAGGAACGGTGAAACGGGCCGCCCTCTTCCTCTGCGGAGGAGGGGTTATGCCCGTCGGAGAACCACGAAGGAGGGGCTATGCCCGCCGGCTAGATCCGCACTCCAACCTACTGGAAGTTGGACCAGTGGGAAGGAACTCGCTATTCAGCACGTCGTCGCCTCGTACGACTGGATAATCTTTGTGCCACAGGCTTCGAGCACCCCCAGTCCAGATATCCGTCGAAAACGTATGACTGGATAATCTTTGTGCCACAGGCTTCGAGCAGAGGAGTGTCTTGACCAAGATTTCCACGATGGGATGAAAGAGGAGGCTCGATTAGAAGATCTCACAGAGACAACAATGGGCATTGGGAATCAGGGAGGGAGAGGAGTTGGAGCAGGAGGAACAGAGGGAACACAACGCATTTATGGCGACGAAATTCAGCAATGCTTTTCTCAGGGATCCGAGAAGAGGAGAACCAGAGGCAGTGGGTCTCAAAGCGCCCCCAAGAGGACGAGAGAAAGCTCAGGAGGAGTTAACATAGACCTCGAAATCATTGCAGTCATGAATCAGACGGGGCAGTGAATGTTGCGTGGAAGACTACGAAGCCACTTACAAATTTGATGAGTCTTCGCTCACCAACCACTAGTTTGTTGAGTAAGCTAAACCCGTTGAAACGTACCGCCTTGCCACACTACTCCCGAACATCCGAAGACGTGAA